ACACCCCTGACCCGGGCACCGGGACTATCAGGCCCCTCCCCCGCTTTCTCAGGTTCCCGGAACGGCGGCACCCACTCCCCTTCCATCCCTCGGCGGGGGCCGGGGACGCGCAACGCGAGGTGGGCCGGGCCAAGTGACCGAATCACTTTACCGCGCGCGTACTGCTAGAGAGCCGCCCAGCCCGAGGCAGACGGGCGCGGAGGCGGAGGACGCGGAAACTGAAATACAAAGGGATTGAGTGGAAAGCAATAGAGGGAGGTGCTGGGAGGGGAACCAGCTAGGCTCAAAGCTCCAAAGCGGATCGCCGGGTTAATGTGGGGTTTCTGCCTCGCCATCCACTCCCAATGCGGCTGCTTAGCCGACTGTGTAGGCGGCTTCTCTGCATTACACTAGCTGGTCTGAATTCCCCAGCCCAGCCGCCCAGGTAGCTTAGACCCGGCCTCTGAAAACACCGGATCCCTCCTTCCAACACTCCTCGCCAGCAAGGCAGAGATGGGTCTTTCAGGGAGCAGGAAGTTGGGGCGCAGGTTTCGGTAAAGCACCTCACTCGGAGCCACGGTCTCCGTGTCTAAAATGACAATGGGCCGGGCGCGGTGACTTACGCCTGTAATCCCAGCATTTTGGGAGGCCGAGGTGGGCGGATCACGAGGTCAGGAGATAGACAGCATCCTGGCTAACACGGTGAAACCCCGTCTCTACTAAAAATACAAAAAAAAAAAAATAAAAAAAAAAAAAAAAATTAGCCGGGCGTGGTGGCAAGCACTTGTAGTCCCAGCTACTCGGGAGGCTGAGGCAGGAGTATGACGTGAACCCGGGAGGCGGAGCTTGCAGTGAGCCGAGCGAGACTCAGTCTCAAAAACAAAAGAAAAAGGAGGACAATGAAGCGAACGACTTTTAAATGTTAAAGCCGCGCACGCATGGCTCCTGCAGCCATTCCCTGGCCATGTGGCATGCATCGCGAGTTAATTGTGTAGGTGTGTGGTCTTCTTCCCACCTCCTCTCCACCCACCACCTCCATTCATTAAAGTGAAGGTAGAGCTGCCTCCCACCCGTCTGCTCAAGAGATAACCATGCAACCCCTTTTATTTGTTCAGGACTTTATCGTTTGTAAGCCCTTCCTATATATCTATTTTTTTTTTCCCAAGACGGAGCCTTGCTCTGTCGCCCAGGCTGGAGTGCAATGGCGTGATCTCGGCTCACTGCAGCCTCCGCCTCCTGGGTTCAAGCGATTCTCCTGCCTCAGCCTCCCAAGAAGCTGGGATTACAGGCGCGTGCCACCATGCCCAGCTAACTTTTTGTGTTTTTAGTAGAGACGGGGTTTCACCATGTTGACCAGGCTGGTCTCGAACTCCTGACCTCGTGATCCGCCCACCTTGGCCTCCCAAAGTGCTAGGATTACAGGCGTGAGCCACCGCGCCTGGCCCCTACATATTTTTCATTTGAACAATATGTGTATGTCAAATCGCCTGAATTTGATTCTTGTCTCCCACACCCCCTGGCTGAATAAAGTTGGACAATTTGCTTAACTTCTCTGTGTTCATTTTCTGGTCCATAAAGTGAGACTAATACTAGAACCACTTGGTTGGGCTATTGAGGATTAAGAGGCTAATATATGTCAGGTACAGCACCTGGCACAGAGTGTGTTCCCTGACCCCGTTGGCAGTTATGACTGAGCCCCACTGAATCTAACATGCAACCTCCTTCAGAGGGGTCCAGATGGTTTTCCAGATTTGGCCCTCTGGGGCAGATTCTGATTTGGTAGGTAGGTATGGGGCAGGCCTGAGATCCTTCAGATCTGAACAGCTCCCTGGTGCTGCTGATGCTGCTGGCACCCAGGCACTCCTTTGAGTGATGAGGTCTTAGAGCAGCGGACTTGAACAGCACCAGAGGCATCTGGAGGGTTTGCAAAAATAGACTGCTGAGCGCCATCCCCAGAGTTTCTGACTTAGTAGGTCTGGAGTGAGACTGGGATTTGCATTCCTAACAATCTCTCAAGTAATGCTGATGCTGCTGATCTGAGGACCATAGTTTGAGGCTTTGTTTTAGAGCATCTCACCCCTCAAGCCTATGACCACAAGTAATGTCATACTGGGGGGTGGGCTGGGGAGTAGAGATCATTAAACAGCCAAGAGTAGCTTCTTGTGCTTTGGGAATAAAAGAAAGTTCCGGGAGGAGGGGCGGGGGACAGCCAAAAAAAAAAAAAAAACCTTCCCAGTTCTAATATGGGTAAGACACCAGAAGGAATAAAAAGGACAGTGTAGCTTTTTACTCAGCATCCTGTAAAATTAAGGGAGACTGGGAAAGACTGCCTAGTTGCTCAAGGGCAAAAGAAAGGGAATGGAATCTCCTTCAGCCCATGTCTTCCTGTTTTGGGGTCCTCTCTCCCCAGACAACCAAGAGAACAGAGGGAAGCCGGAGGGCAGCAGCAAGGCCCGCAAGGAGAGGACGGCCTTCACCAAGGAGCAGCTGCGAGAGCTGGAGGCGGAATTTGCCCATCATAACTACCTGACTCGGCTCCGCAGATACGAGATCGCGGTAAACCTTGACCTCTCTGAGCGCCAGGTGCGCCCCCAGCGGCCCCTCCTCTTATTTGCTCTCCCATCTCCCTCCCTTCCCTCCTTTCCCACCACCACTCCCTTCACCTTCTTTTTCTTCCTCCAGCCAGTCCAGTGGTTTTCAACTGTGGCCATACCTGAGAATAGCCTGGGGAGTTTTGGGTTTTTTTGTTTTTTGTTGTTTGTCTTTTGAAACGGAGTCTCGCTCTGTCACCCAGGCTGGAGTGCAGTGGTGCGTTCTCAGCTCACTGTAACCTCCACCTCCTGGCTTCAAGAAATTCTCCTGCCTTAGCCTCCTGAGTAGCTGGGACTACTGGCATGCGCCATCACGCCTGGCTAATTTTTGTCTTCTTTTTTAGTAGAGGCGGGGTTTCACAATGTTGACCAGGATGGTCTCAAACTCCTGACCTCAGGTGATCCGCCCTCCTCGGCCTCCTAAAGTGCTGGGATTACAGGCGTGAGCCACCATGCCCAACCCCTGGGGAGATTTTAATAGTGCTGATGTCTGGGCTCTACCCCTAGGGATGATTTTAATTGGCCTGGGATGGGATACAGGCCTCAGAATTTTTCAAAGGCCCCCTAGGTGATTCTCATATGCAGCTAGGTTGGGAGCTCTGGTCTGGCTATTCCCAAACTTGAGTATATGTTGGAATCCTCTAAGGCACTTGTTCAAAATATGGATTCCGGAGGTCTGGAGAGAGATTTTACCATAATGAGTGGGCCTGAGAATCTGTATTTCTAGTATGTTCTCTAGGCGATCTGGATATGCAGCTGGTTCCTGGGCACACTTTGAGAAAAACTTCCCTGGCCCTTTGTTTTGGACTTTCCCTTCGGCCACCCCACACCCCCACACCCAGGCTCTGATATGGAATAATAGTAATAATAACAGTAATATTTGATAGCAGATTTCAGTTGATAGAGCGCTCTGCTAGAGGGCTGGATTTTGAATCAGAAGACTTAGATTCAAGTCCTGCCCTCTATCACTTCTTCTAGCCCTGGGACCTCTGGGTCTCTATCTGTAAAATGGGATCATAATCCTGCAGGTAATACTCAAGCTCAGATGAGAAAATGTGCTGACCAGAGCTATCTAAACCAAAAAGTTCTCTATAAATGTGCCTAAGAATAAGGCTGATGACCTCTGCTCCCAGACCCTTGGGGAATGGAGGTAGGGCGCAGGGGGACCTGGCACAGGCGGGGCAGGGCATGTGAAGAGGGTGGGGCCAATGCAGAGTGTTTTTAGAACATGTTCCCCTGTCTGGGGGTTTATCCCAAGACACAAGACAGACCTCTGGACAGATTGGTGTGTCCTCTCTTTGGTCTTAGTTCCTGGGGCGTTTGAGGGAGTAGAGAGTGGTAAGTGATGGTTTCAAGCTGGGGTCCCTGGAGTTACACCCTGGCTAGCCTGAGCATTGACATGGGGAGGAGGTCACACCAGCCCTGGAGTGCCCAGGCTCCTTTGCTTCCTCCCCTAGGTCAAAGTGTGGTTCCAGAACCGAAGGATGAAGTGGAAGCGTGTGAAGGGAGGTCAGCCCATCTCCCCCAATGGGCAGGACCCCGAGGATGGGGACTCTGCAGCCTCTCCAAGTTCAGAGTGAGATTCTGCGTGGAGGAAAAATGACTAAGGACTGAGCCCCCTACCCAACTACCCCCACCCCAATGCCACCTTTACCCTCTTCCTTCCCCAGCCGGGGCAGCCTCTCCACATCTTTCACTGACTCTTGGATATGAAACTGCCCAGCATTCCTGGGAGTCTTAGAGTTGTCCAGGAAGTTCTATCCAACCTCTTAGCAGCCTCTTCCCTAGGGCCTTTGCTCCCACACTCTCATGGAATCAGACAGAGATCCTACCAGGCCGGATGAATCTGGAAACAGCTTCAGAGACACTGCTTCTCAGGGTCTCTTGGCTGCCACCCATGCCTCCTCCTACTGCCGTTCTCCTGTGTCAGCCAGGCCTCCTTCTGGTCTGGACACCACCTGGCCTGGTGGGAGAGACGCTTTGGAACCAGCTGGCGACTCGGATAGTAAATGCTTCAAAAGGAAGGAAATGATGGAGACACACACCCTTGCCCACCTTCCTCTATGGGCTGTACATCTGAGGCTTTGGGGCCCCTTAGTTGTCCCCAAACCCCAAGAAAAATCAGAATGTGGAGAGTCAAGGACAGCAACTCAGCTGCTGCAAGCCAGAAACCCATCCCTATCTCCAAATTTGTTGGCTAAGTGGGGACACTTATAAGCACTGACTAGAGAAGACAGAAAAATAGCCTCATGTAGGTTTCTGTGTCCCCATATAGGCCCGTCCACACAGGCTTGACTGGGTGGACAAGAATGAACCCATGACAGCACCTGCTGCTTCAAAATCAAAATCAATTTAGGGATATAGCAGGGGCTGTTGGGCTGTGCTCCAGAGAAAAGGAGCAGCTACTCCCTTTAAATCCACGATTGGTGGATTGAAAACCTCTCCAGATGCCCAGTTGCTGGGCTGAACAACTATGGGCTGGAAACAACGTAGAGTCTGGAAAGTGTCCCCTACATTCTGGAGGGGAGGGGAGATAATAAGGAGGGCTCGGATGAGGGCCTGGAGATGCGGAACCCTGGCGTAGAAGGTTCTCGGCATAGAAGGTTCTCTAGCTACAGTGTCCTGTGACTGCAAAAGGGGACGAGAAAATCCCTCTTCCTCCATGGCATGGATGTAAGCTCTTGCTGTGTGTTCTACAAATGCTGTTATTGTGGGAGGAAATGCTAGGTTTTTGTGTGTGGACTGCCCAGACCTCAGCCAGGTCTTCTGGAGATGCCACTTGAGGACTGCTGGCCAAAGAGCATGAGGGACTGAAGCCCTGGCTGCCTCAGCGCTCTGTCTCCCAACACCAGCTGGTGTTGCAGAGGGAGGTCAACGCGAGTTTGGATCTCTTGTACGCAGATGTAATCATTCACATGTAACCCCACCTCTCCACCCCAAAAAGGGCAAGAGCTGTGGAAAATGATTGCCAAATGAGATGGCTGGTTAGAGCATGATTTTTTCTAAAGCATACTTCATATATTTTCTTAAGATTACATCAAACTAATTGTGCAAGGTCAATTCACTTTGTAAGAAAACTCTTGGAGAAATAAAATCAATAAAAAGCAAAGTTCCCAGGCCTTTTTCTTTGCAGAGCGAACAACCACAGCTCTTGTGTGCAACCTTCTGATTGACCAGACAATGTCTAGAAGCAAGAGAAAACGGCAAGAAATGATCTAGACAGAGCTGTCCCCCTTTAGTTTTTCAAAAGGTAGGTACCAAATATAATTGTTGCCCCAAAAATTTTTTTTTCTCCCATGCAAATGCATGGTCTTCATTTCTCATTGTAAAAGTTTAGCTTTCAGTTTCCCTAAACTATGACCTATCAAATAGTCAATGTTTTGTAAACAAAACATTGTTAATAGAGTAATCTTGACCACAAAGTAACCATTCCCAATGTTTAAATTCAAAGTTTGGAGATTTTATTTTTCAAGGTAGAAAAGTGTATATTAATAGTAGTAAAAAATGACATAAGAAAAAATATCCCATATTCTCTGTCTTTTTTTTTTTTTTTGAGACAGAGTTTCGCTCTTGTTGCCCAGGCTGGGACGCAATGTCACCATCTTGGCTCACTGCAACCTCCACCTCCTGGGTTCAAGTGATTCTCCTGCCTCAGCCTCCTGAGTAGCTAGAATTACAGGCATGCGCCATCACGCCCAGCTAATTTTTGTATTTTTAGTAGAGATGGGGTTTCTCCATGCTGGCCAGTCTGGTCTCCAGCTCCTGACCTCAGGTGATCCACCTGCATCTGCGTCCCAAAGTGCTGGGATTATAGGCATGAGCCACCACACCTGGCCTCTATGTCCTTTTTTTCTTTTCTTTTCTTTTTTTGAGACGGAGTCTCACTCTGTCGCCCGGGCTGGAATGTAGTGCCATCTCGGCTCACTGTCACTGCAAGCTCTGCCTCAGCCTCCTGAGTAGCTGGGACTACAGGTGCCCGCCACCATGCCTGGCTAATTTTTTTGTATTTTTAGTAGAGACTGGGTTTCGCCGTGTTAGCCAGGATGGTCTCGATCTTCTGACCTTGTGATCCACCTGCCTTGCCCTCCCAAAGTGCTGAGATTACAGGCATGAGCCACTGCACCTGGCCCTATGTCTTTTTAACTAAAAAACAATTTGTCTCACCAAGATATCAACAATGGACAAAACAGGACTGGCTACAGGGAGGTGAGAGAGGGAGGCAGTAGAGGAGACCTGGCCAGGATCTTGCATTGATGCAGCCTGGGCCAGGTGTGGGCAGTGCCTGGAAGTGACATCAGCAGGAGCTGGAATCAGGCAGATCTACCAAAATCAAGGTGCCAAACAGAGGTGGGTTCAGTGGCTCAGGTTCAGGTTCACAGCCAAGCAACATAGACACGCTCAGTCACCCCCATCCACCCTCCTGCTGGAAACTCAACTCCGTGGCTTCAGGGGACATCATCCTCTTCTGGCTTTCCTCATCTGTCCTAGATGTTCCTTCTCTGTCCCTCATGCAGGCCCCTTTCTCGACGCTTCTGCTCTCATGGCTGGTTTTCAAGGTTTTCTCTTTCTACCACCACCTTCCCTATTTTTCAGTCTCTCCCCAGATGATCCCATCCACCTACTTTTTTTGTTTGTTTTTGTCTTTTGAAACAGTCTCGCTCTGTCGCCCAGGCTGGAGTGCAGTGACACGATCTCAGCTCACCGCAAACTCTGCCTCCTGGGTTCAAGCGATTCTCCTGCCTCAGCCTCCTGAGTAGCTGGGATCTGGCTAATTTTTGTATTTTTAGTAGAGACAGGGTTTCACCATGTTGGTCAGGTTTGTCTCAAACTCCTGACCTCAGGTGATCCTCCCGCCTCGGCCTCCCAAAGTGCTGGGATTACAGGCATGAGCCACCTCGCCTGGCCTACATTTTTTAAAATTGTTGTAAAATACACTAACATAAAATAAAAGTTATCATGTTAACCATTTTGAAGTGCACAGTTCCGTGGCATTAAGCATTTTCTCATTGTTGTGCAACCACTGCCACTATCCATCTCCAGAACGTTTTCATCTTCCCAAACTGAAACCCTGTGCCTATGGACTACTAATCCCTATCCCCTCTCCTCCATTCACCTACAGTTACATAGCATTTGTGCCGTATTGAGCACTGTTCTGCTTTACATGTACAAACTAAGTGAATTCTCTTAGCCATCCTAAGAGGTAGTACTACTGTAATTCCCATTTCACACATGAGGTAACCAAGGTGGAGAGAAGCTGAGTAAACTCCCGAGATTTTATGTGGTTAGTGTTTGGGGTGGATTGTATTATTTGGCCCAGGTATCTTCTTCCCTCTCCACTGGGGAAATGCTTCCCTGATCATTGCCATATGATACACCTGCCGTGGTAAGGGCACACTTCCTCACCTAATTGACATCAGGTTGTCCTTGTGGCCTGCTTTGGCCAATAGAATGTGAGCAGAAGGACATGTGTTGTATCCAAGCAGAAGCTTTACAGGTCATCACACTGCTGTGCTCCTGCTCTTTTCCCTCTGTACAAGGCTGAAATGGAGGTTCCCTGGGTTCCAGAAGGAGAAAAACATGGAACTGGGCTCCAGAAGGAGAAAAATGTAGAACAAAGCTAGAGCTGACCCCACAGCCTTCATAGATGTCAATGAAGATATAAACATTTGTTGTTGTAAGCCAATGATTTGTGGGTCATTTGTCACTGCCACACCAGCTCGTAAAAACTGGCCACTCCAGTGATGAAGCTGGGTTTGGAATTGAGTCATTCTGGCCCCAGGCCACCACTTCCTATGCCTGATCTGGGTCCCTAAGCTTTTATATTCTGCTGCCTACTACCCTTTGCCACCTAGGATGACTATAAGCATCTCAAACTCCCATATCTGAAGGGGAAATCACCATTCCTGGAATTGGGTGAGCACCACTGCCTGCATTCTGATTTCTCTACTTTAGCTGGCAATACTACAACCTACCTACCTGTTAATTCACACTGGAAACCTGGGGCACATCCTTGATACTGACCTCTGCTTTTCCGAACCAATCCACTACCTGCTCCTGCTCATTTTACTTCCCATATAGATATTTCTCCCACCCACGGCATTGTCTTCCCACCACCACTGCCTTCCTTCTGGCTGTTGACGTCTCACTTGAATTAGAGCCTCTGAGAGCCCTCCCTCCTGGTCTGAGGCTGCTCAAATCCCATCCCCTCTCAGCCTGTAGAGTGATCACAAAGAAAATTCAACCCTGTCACCCCCTGTTTAAAACCTATCCGCAGCTTCCCTCAGCCACAAAATCAAGTTCAAGGGCCTTCACAGGTCTCCATGATCCAGCCCCTGACCACCTCCACAGCCGCAACCTAACACCTCCGCCCCAAATCCTGGGCTCTAGCAAGACCAAGCCACCTTCCATTCCACAGCCACAGGCCATGTGATTTCTCTTCTCCATTCCTTGGCTCATTCCCTTCTGCCTGGAGTGCCCTCCCACACCTGGAGCCCCAAGGACTTATGCATTCTAGGAGCACTCTAAAGGAACGCGCAGGAAGTTTAAATATAAATATGGCCAAGTTTTTGTTTGTTTGTTTGTTTTTGTTTTTTTTTAAGAGACTTCATTTCCCAACCTGGAGTGCAAAGGTATGATCATGGCTCACTGCAGCCTCAAACTCCTAGCCTCAAGCAATCCTCCCACCTCAGCCTCCTGAGTAGCTAGCCGGGACTACAGGTGTGAAAAACCATGCCCAGCTAATTTTTAAATTGCTTTGTAGAGATGGGGGTCTCACTATGTTGCCCAGGCTGGCCTTGAACTTCTGGCCTCAAGGGATCCTCCTGCTTCACCTCCCAAAGCCCTGGGGTTACAGGCATGAGTCACTGCACCCAGCCCAAACTAATTTTCAATAGTAGATCAATGCCTAACATGAGGCAGCAACATTCACCAATTTCTAAAACCATCAGAAAAAAACCTCAGTGTGAGAATTTTCCTTTCCCCAATAAACCCAGTTAATAAGCCCACTGCGGAGAGTTTGATCATGACATTAAAAGTACATGCACACATCAATCAAGAGGTTTCTGGTTTCTTTTGAACGCTCCCTGCACTGCTCTCTCTCTTCAGCGTTGGTGTGTGATTGACCAGCGCTGGGTGAGCAGTAGCTGGGACCAGCTGTTCTTCAAGTTAGGTAAAAATCCTCTACTTTCTCCCGAGGGCAAAGCTGCATGAAGGAAGCAAGGCCACCCACTGGCAACTCCCTGATGGGAACCAGTGAGTGTGACCAGAGATGGTGGCTTGGTAGAAATCCAAACAACTGAGAATTCCCAGACGGTAACTTTTCAGTAATGGTTTTCTCCATCCTTGAGACAGCATCAGGGACGAACGAGTGTGTGGCTGACCTGCTGAGAGAGGTGAGGAGATATGAAAAAAAGAGAGAGATGAAGCAAGCGAGTAGGGAATCCATTTCCAAATGAAAAGGCCTGGAGGGGCTCAGGCCTTCAGAAATCTGCTCACCTGCCTGGGCCAGGTCCTGAGATGGATGTGTGCATTTCTGATAGTTCTTCTATTCAAAGATGAGAATCAGTGTCAGGGAGAGATTTACTCTTTTCTGTCCAGACCTCCAAAGCACCACAATTCTCAGTAACTGGGTAAGCCCGTGGTGGGTGGCTTTCTTTCCTTCCATTGAGTGGAAATGATTGCCCTTAAGAGTTATATATTCTTCGGCCAGACAGAGGAGCCTGTGCCTACTAATCCCTCACAACCACCGGTGAGGCACTAGTCAGTCATGTCATCTCTTGGCCACCACGGCGCTGGGCTGTCACCATGTTCCTTCTCTCACCGGCTGCCGCTTCTCAGTCCCATTTGCTGCCAACCCTGGCTACCTGAATATTTTTGAAACACTTTGAAAAATATCTCAAATCCTGCTGGGCGCAGTGGGTCACACATGTAATCCCAGAACTTTAGGAGGCTGAGGCAGGCAGATCACCTGAGGTTGGGAGTTCGAGACCAGCCTGGCCAACATGGTGAAATCCCGTCTCTACTAAAAATACAAAAATTAGCTCGGTGTGGTGGCACCTATCTGTAATCCCAGCTACTTGGGAGGCGGAGGCATGAAAATCACTCGAAGCC